AGAGAGAGCGAGGGAGAGAGAGGGAGGGAGGAGGGAGGGAGGGAGAGAGGAGAGAGAGAGGGGGGTGAGGGAGGGAGAGAGAGACAGAGAGAGAAAGGAAGAAGGAAGAGAGAGTGTGTGAGGAATGAGGAGAGAGGGGGAGAGAGAAAAGAAGGGAGAGAGAGTGAAAAGACAGCAGAGAAAGAGAGAGAGAAAAGAAAGCAGAGAGAGAGAGAAAAGCAGAGAGAGCGAGGGTGAGAGAGAGAGAGGGAAAAAGAGACAGAGAGAGGAAGGAAGAAGGGAGAGAGAGAAAAGAAAGCAAAGAGACATACAGAGAGAGAAGGAGACAGAGAAAGGAAGGTGGGAGAGAGAGGGAGAGAAAGGAAAGAAGGGAGACAGAAAGAGAGAAGGGGAGAGAGAAAGAGAGAAGGGGAGAGAGAAAGAGAGAAGGGGTGAGAGAAAGAGAGAAGGGGTGAGAGAAGAGAGAAGAGGGTGAGAGAAGAGAGAGAAGAGAGAGAGAAGGAGAGAGAGAAAGAGAGAAGGGGAGAGAGAAAGAGAGAAGGGGAGAGAGAAAGAGAGAAGGGAGAGAGAGAAGAGAGAAGGGAGAATGGGAGAGAGAAAGAGAGAAGGGGAGAGAGAAAGAGAGAAGGGAGAGAGAGAGAGAAAGAGAGAATGGGAGAGAGAAAGAGAGAATGGGAGAGAGAAAGGAAGATGGAAGAGAAAGAGAGTGAGAGAAAGCAGGCAGAGGGAGAGGAGAGAAATGAAGGGAGAGAGGGAGAAGGAGAGAGAAACATGTTTTTACATTACATTACATTACATTACATGACATGACAGTACATATTATTGTGTATTATTATTATTGTGATATTATTGTGTATTATTGTGTATTATTATGATATTATTGTGTATTATTATTATATTATTGTGTATTATTGTGTATTATTGTGTATTATTATATATTGTGATATTATTGTGTATTATTATTGTGTATTATATTTTTGTGATATTATTGTGTATTATTGTGATATTATTGTGTATTATTGTGTATTATTGTGATATTATTGTGTATTATTGTGTATTATTGTGATATTATTGTGTATTATTATAATATTATTGTGATATTATTGTGATATTTTGTGATATTATTATGATATTATTGTGTATTATATTATTGTGATATTATTGTGTATTATTATAATATTTTTGTGATATTATTATGATATTATTGTGTATTATTGTGTATATTATTGTGTATTATGATATTATTGTGTATTATTGTGTATTATTGTGATATTATTGTGTATTATTATTATTGTGATATTATTGTGTATTATTGTGTATTATTGTGTATTATTATGATATTATTGTGTATTATTGTGTATATTATTTGTGTGTATTATTATTATTGTGTGATATTATTGTGTATTATTGTGTATTATATTATTGTGTATTATTGTGTATTATTGTGATATTATTGTGTATTATTATTTTGTGTATATTATTGTGTATATTATTTGTATTATTATTGTGTATTATTGTGTATTATTATGATATTATTGTGTATTATTGTGTATTATTATGATATTATTGTGTATTATTGTGTATTATTGTGTATTATTGTGTATTATTGTGTATTATGATGATATTATTGTGTATTATTGTGTATTATTGTGTATTATTATGTATATTATTGTGTATTATTGTGTATTATTGTGATATTATTGTGTATTATTGTGATATTATTGTGAGTAGTACTGTTGTACTACTACTACTACTATTACTACTACTTATAATACTAATACTGCCGCTGTTATTGTTTCTTTTGTCTTTTGCGTCTCCAGGGTGAAGGAGGGATTTTTGGAGGATTTTTCACTGAGGTGTGTTCTAGAACTTTCCCTCTGTCTCTTCCTCTGAGAGAGAGAGAACGAGAGAAGAGAGAGAGAGAGAGAGAGAGAGAGAGAGAGAGAGAGGTGGAAAGAGGGAGGGACAGGAGAGAGAGGAGAGAGAGAGAGAGAAAGGAGAGGGAAGGAGAGAGAGAGAGAGAGAGAGAAAGAGAGGAGAAGGAAGAGAGGAGAGAGAGAACGAGATAGAGGGAGAAAGAGAGAGAGGAAGGGGGAGAGAGAGAAAGGAGAGGGAGGGAGGAGAGAGAGAGGAGAGAGAGAAAGGAGAAGGAAGAGAGGTGAGAGAGAGAACGAGATAGAGGGAGAAAGAGAGAGAGGAAGGAGGAGAGAGAGAGAAAGGAGGAGAGAGAGAGAGGAGAGAGAGAGAGGAGAAGGAAGAGAGAGAGAGAGAGAACGAGATAGAGGGAGAAAGAGAGAGAGGAAGGAGGAGAGAGAGAGAAAAAGGAGAGGGAAGAGAGAGAGAGAACGAGAAAGAGGGAGGGGGAGAAACAGGGAGAAAGAGAGAGAGCAGAGATAGAGACAGAGAGAGAGCAGAAGAGAGAAAGAGAGAGAGAGAGAGAGAGACAGAGAGAGAGAGAGAGACAGAGAGAGAGCAGAGAGAAAGAGAGAGAGAGAGAGAGAGAGACAGAGAGAGAGCAGAGAGAGAGACGGAATGAGAGAGGGAGAGAGAGAAGAGAAAAAGAATAGAGAGAGAAAAAGGAGCAATGTAGGAAAGAGAGAGAGAGAACAAGAGAGAGAGAAGAGAGAGTGAAAGAGAGAAGAAGGGAGAGAGAGAGAGAGGAGAGAGCAGAGATAGCGAGAGAGTAAAGAGAGAGAGAGCAGAGAGAAGGAAAGAGAGACAATGAGAGAGAGAAAGGGAGAGAGAGAGAGAAGGAGAGAGAAGAGAGAAAGAGAGGAGGAAAGAGGGAGAGACAGAGAAGAGAGGGAAGGAAGATAGAGAGAGGGAGCAACAGAGAAGAGAGAGTGGAGGAGGAGAGAGAGAGATATAGAGAGAGAGGGAGAAGGAAAGAGCAGAAAGAGAGAGGAGAGAAAGGAGAGAGAGAAGAGAGGGAGAGAAGGAGAGAAGAGGGAGAGAGGGAAAGAGAGAGAAGGGGGTAAAGGAGAGAAAGATGAGAGAGGAAGACAGTGAGGAAGGTGGAAGAAAGAAAGAGGGAGGAAAGCGAGTTGAGGAAGAGTGAAGGAAAGAGAGAGAAGGAGAGAGAGATTAATAAAATGTGGAATGAAGGAGTGACACCGAAAGAAGAGAGAGGAAGAGGAGAAACAGGGAGTTAGAGAGAGAGAGGAGGAGTGAACGGACAGAGAGCGAAAGAGAGAGAGAGAAGAGAAAGGGAGAGAGAGAGAAAAAGGAGAGATGGAGGAGAGAGAGAGAGGGAAAGAGAGAGAACGAGAGAGGAGGGAGAGAGCAGAGAGAACGAGAAGGGAAAGAGAGAGAGAAGAGAGAAGGAAAGACAGAGAATGAGAGAGAGAAAATAGAGTGAAAGAGAGAGAGAGGAGAGAAAGAGGGAGCAAAAAGAGAGAGAGAGAGGAGAGAGGGGGGACAGAGAGAGGAAAAGAGAGGGCACGAGAGAGAGAGAGAAAGAGAGAGAAGGAGTGAGAGAGGAGAGAGAGAGAGGAGGAGGAGGAGAGAGAGGGAGATAGAGAGAGAGGGAAAGAGCAGAAGGAGAGAAAGGAGAGAAAGGAGAGAGGGAAAGAGAGAGAGAAGAGAGAGTGAACGAGAGAATGAGAGAGAAGGAGGGAGACAGCAGAGAGAGTGAGAGAGGAAAGAGAATAAAGAGAGAGAGAAAGCAGAGAGAAAGAAAGAGAGAGAATGAGAGAGAGAGGGAGAGAGAGAGCAAAGAAAGAGGAGAGAAAGAGCGGAGGAGAGAGTGAGCGAGAGAGCAGAGAGTGAGAAGAGAGGAAGAGAGAGAGAGGGGGGGAGAGAAGAGAGAGCAAAGAGAGAGTGAGGGGGGACAGAGAGAGGAAAAGAGAGGACACGAAAGAGAGAGAGAGAGAGAGGGAGTCAGAGAGGAGAGAGAGAGGGAGAGAGAGAGAGAGAGAGAGAGAGAGAGAGGAGAGGGAGAGAGCAGAAAAGAGAGGGAGAGAAGAGGAAGAGAGAAGAGCGGGAAAGAGAGAGAGAGAAGAGAGAGTGAAAGAGAGGGGGAGAGAGAGAGAGAGAGAGAAGAGAGAGAGAGGAGAGGAAGAGAGAGAGAGAGAGGGGGAGAGAGAGAGAGAAGAGAGAGAGAGAGAGGAGAGAGAAAGAGAGAGCAAAGAGAGAGAGAGGAGAGAGGGAGTGACAGAGAAGAGAGAGTGGAGGAGGAGAGAGAGAGGGAGATAGAGAGAGAAGGAGAGGGAAAGAGCAGAAAGAGAGAGGAGAGAAAGAAGAGAGGGAGAGAAGGAGAGAAGAGAGAGAGTGAGAGAGGTAAAGAGAGAGAGAAGGGGGTAAAGGAGAGAAAGATGAGAGAGGAAGACAGTGAGGAAGGTGGAAGAAAGAAAGAGGGAGGAGAGAGAGAAGGAGGGAGAGATGAATAAAATGTGGAATGAAGGAGTGACACCGAAAGAAGAGAGAGGAAGAGGAGAAACAGGGAGTTAGAGAGAGAGAGGAGGAGCGACGGACGACAGAGAGAGAGAGAGAGAGAGGAGGAGCGACGGAGAGAGAGAGAGAGAGAGAGAGAGAGAGGAAAGAGGGGAGGGAGTTTCAGAGAAATGGAGTGAGAGAAGACAGAGAGAGAGAGAGAGAGAGAGAGGAGAGAGGTGGTGCAGTGTCAGACTCAGACTCTCAGCAGCAGACAGAGCTTCTTTCACTTCACACCAAAAACACTTTTTAACTCACTTTTTCAACACAATTTTTGGGGATTTTTCTTTTTAAAAAACCAGCCACGTTTTACATCTTCGTCTTTTCTTGGACTATTTTCAAATCCTCAACTTTAAATCTCTTCAAACTTTCAGGTTTGTACCGACAATTCTGAAGTTTTGTTAGTTTAGTTTAGTTTTCTGAAACGAAATCTGGAACTTTTGGTTGATTTGCAGCTCGATTTGAACTTAGAATTTTCTTAATTTTGAACTGAACTGACTCCAGTTTGCTTTTTTATTTGAGCATTTAATATTTTAGTAGTCATATTTTTTATTTTTTATTTTTTTCAGATTTTTGTCTTAATATTTGAAAAAACAGGCTACTTCAATTCACTTTTGATTTTGATTTAAAGTATAAATTTTGTCTTTTTTAGACGTGATTGCTTAAGTTTCATTTCCTTTCATTCAGTTGATTTCAGTTTCAAATTTCGATTTCAAGTGTGTGGCAAAAGTACACAAAATTTTAGAAGTAGGCACAGTTTTTTCACTGCCTTTTTACAAATTTTTATTCATTTAAATAATATTTTTTTTCAGTTTTCAGTGTATCTTTTGTTAGTATTTTTCTGTTGTTTTTTTGGTAGCAATTTTTGAAAGTATTTTTTTTAATAGCAATTTTCTGAAGTATTTTTTTTGGTAGCAATTTTCTGAAGTATTTTTTTTGGTAGCAATTTTCTGGATTATTTTAGGGTAGTATTTTTTTGGTGCTATTTTTCTGCAGTATTTTTAGGCAGTATTTGTAGTATTTTTCAGTAGTCTTAGTAAAAATGACGGAGTCCAAGTCGTCGGGTACGTGCGAGAAGCTGGCTCTGTCCCTGCTCGCCCTGTGGTTCATCGGCTCGCTCATCACCATCGTGGTCTGGGCGACGGCGCCGGACTTCAAGAGCGCCGCCCAGTGCCGCGCCGAGCTCCGCGACCTCACCGTGCAGCACGAGGGGTCGAAGGTCGTGTGCCAGAAGAACCAGGAGGCGCTGGAGGAGATGGTGAACCAGGCCCGAGAGGAGAAGGAGCGACTCGCCGGCCTCATCCTGGAGCTCAACGACAAACTCAACGCCACCAACCACACGCTGGAGCAGAGCCGCATGGAAAACGTGAGTATTATGCAAGTACTACGACTACTACTACTACTACTGCGACTACTGCTGCTACTGTTACTGCAACTACTACTTTTACTGTGACTACTGTTAGTACTGTAACAATCAACATAACCAACCACACGCTGGAGCAGAGCAGGATGGAAAACATGAGTATTATACAGATACTACTACTACTACTACTACTACTACTACTACTACTACTACTTCTACTACTAAAATTGTTACTATTACTACTGTACGTACTATAAGAACTGTAAGTACTGTACCAATCAAAGCCACCAATTACACACTGGTGGAGAGCAGGATGGAAAACATGAGTGTTATACTGCTACTTTTACTACTACTACTACTACTGCTGCTAATACTGTTACTGCAACTACTACTGTTACTATGACTACTGTTAGTACTGTAACAATCAACGCCACCAACCACACGCTGGAGCAAAGCAGAATGGAAAACATGAGTATTATACAGATACTACTACTACTACTTCTACTACTACTGCTACTGCTAATAGTACTACTACTGTTACTACAGCTACTACTGTTACTATGACTACTGTAAGTACTGTAACAATCAACCTAACCAACCACAAGCTGGAGCAGAGCAGGATGTGAGTTGTTATACAAATACTACAACTAGTACTACTACTACTACTACTAATACTGCTGCTACTACTACAACAACTACTGCTACTTCTACTACTACTACTACTGTTACTGTTACTATGACTACTGTAAGTACTGTAACAATCAAAATCAGCAACCACACGCTGGAGCAGAGCAGGATGGAAAATGTGAGTTGTTATACAAATACTACTGCTACTACTAGTACTACTACTATTACTACTACTACTACTACTGTTACTATGAGTACTGTAAGTACTGCAAATACTGTAACAATCAGCATAACCAACTACACACTGGAGCAGAGCTGGATGGAAAACGTGAGTATTATAGTACTATTTCTACTACTACTACTACTGCTACTGCTAATACTACTACTACTACTACTACGACTACTACTGTTACTGTTACTATAACTACTGTAAGTACTGTAACAATCAACCTAACCAACCACAAGCTGGAGCAGAGCAGGATGGAATATGTGAGTTGTTATACAAATACTACAACTAGTACTACTACTACTACTACTACTAATACTGCTGCTACTACTACAACAACTACTGCTACTTCTACTACTACTACTACTGTTACTGTTACTATGGCTACTGTAAGTACTGTAACAAACAAAGCCACCAACCACATGCTGGAGGAGAGCAGGATGGAAAACATGAGTATTATAGTACTACTTCTACTACTACTGCTGCTGCTGTTACTATTACTACAGTACGTACTATAAGAACTGTAAGTACTGTAACAACAACTAGTACTACTACTACTACTGTTACTATGACTACTGTAAGTACTGTAAGTACTGTAACAATCAGAATAACCAACCACACGCTGGAGCAGAGCAGGATGGAAAATGTGAATATTATACTGCATCTACTACTACTACTACTACTACTACTACTACTACTACTGTTACTTCTACTACTGCTGCTACCACTACTACAGTTACTATGAATACTGTAAGTACTATAATTACTGAAAGTACTGTACCAATCAAAGCCAGGATGGAAAACATGAGTATACTACTACTACAACTCCTAATCCTACTACTACTACTACTACTACTACTACTACTACTACTACTACTACTACTACTACTACTACTACTACTACTGTTACTACTACAGTTACTATGACTACTGTAAGTACTATAATTACTGAAAGTACTGTACCAATCAAAGCCAGAATGGAAAACATGAGTATACTACTACTACAACTCCTAATCCTACTACTACTACTACTACTACTACTACTATTACTATTACTACTTCTATTACTACTACTAGTACTACTGTTACTACTGCTGTGTAACTCTCAGTGCAGAGCTGGATGGAAACTGTGAGTCATTACTATAGTACTACTGTACACCACAACTGCAACTACCAATCCTAGATCTGCCACTACTACTACTACTACTACTACTACTACTACTACTACTACTACTACTACTACTACTACTACTACTACTACTACTGCTACTACTGCTATGTCTACTACTAAACTGTTGCTGGTAACTGTTGCTACGTCCTGCTGAGGCGGAAGAATAATCTTCATATTCAGGAAGTCTTCATCAGTGTGTTATTCCAGTTTGACGTCTCTTTGGCTTCAGTCTTTGGTTTTGGGACAAATCCAAAATCTGCAACGTTCAGTCACAGAAACTTTCACTTTAGCTCCTCACTCCTCCTTAACACGCCGCTGACAGTTTGGACAGTTTGGTCACGTGACTAAAAAAACCACAAAGATAATTACATTTAAGATTTTGATAAACAGTTTGCAATTGTTTTCCCAGTTTGGTCATTATTTTTGGTTTTGAATTGTACTTCCTGTTATATAATGACTTTACACTTGGGAATTCTGTTACTCCCAACTATTAACTCCAAACTATTACCTCTAATGTGCAGAGAAATGGTATTTGGCAAATAAAAATATACGAAAAGACATTTATTTTGTTGAAATAACATGTGAATGTGTCAGAGTTTTGGACAGAATTCTTCCAGTGTGATTCAGAGTCCACAAAAATAAAACTCTCCACTTACTCATTTTTAACATATTTTTCAACTTTTCTTTACTTGTCGTTTACAGTTACTACATGTATTATTCTGCCTGTCGTTTGCACAAAAGGATGATTCGCAATTCCATGAAAAAGGGTGTTTTTGTCATTTTTCGAAACAGTTCTAGAGAATTCCGAGGAAAATTATAATCAAGTACGTTTCCTGTAAGAATGGCATCCTTCCTCTTCGTCTTCCTGTTTACCTTTCACACAAAACGACTAAATATCAGCTACCTGCCCCAAACTCTGCTTTTTGATAATATTACCACAAGTACTACTACTACTACTACTGCTACTGCTACTTCTACTACTACTACTACTATTAGTACTACAACATATACAACAACAACGACAACGACTGTTACTGCTAATTTGTCATTCCTCCTCTTTCCGTGTTGTGTAGTAGTTCTGCAAATAAACTGACCCTAGTTTTAGCTGTACTATTTAGAGTTATACAGGTAGTAGTAGTAGTAGTAGTACTAGTAGTAGTAGCAGTAGTAGTAGTAGTAGTAGTAGTAGTACTAGTAGTAGTAGTAGGAGGAGGAGGAGGTGTAGAAGTAGTAGTGCCCTCTTTCATAGTATTAGCAGGAGTAGTGTCAGGAGTAGTAGGAGTAGAAGTAGTAGTAGTAGTAGTAGTAGTAGTAGTAGTAGTAGTAGTAGTAGTAGTAATAGTAGTAGGAGGAGGAGTAGGAGGAGGATGAGGAGGAGAAGGTGTAGGACTAGTAGTAGCAGTAGTATCCTCTTTCATAGTATTATTAGTAGTACTACTAGTAGTAATAGTAGTAACAGCAGCAGCAGCAGCAGTAGTAGTAGTACTTGTTCTTGCTACTGTATCCTCTTTCATAGTATTAGTATTAGTAGGAGTAGTAGTAGTAGTAGTAGTAGTAGTAGTAGTAGTATCCTCTTTCATAGTGTTATAGTATTATTCATAGTATTAGTAGTTGTACTACTACAACTAGTAGTAGCAGTAGTTGTGGTAGTACTGGTAGTATTAGTAGGAGTAGTAGTAATAGTAGTAGTAGTAGTAGTAGTAGTAGTAGTAGTAGCTGTAGTACTTGTTGTTGCTACTGTATACTCTTTCATATTATTATTAGTAGTACTAGTAGTAGTAGTAGCAACAGCAGCAACAGCGGTAGTAGTAGTAGTAGTAGTAGTAGTAGTAGTAGTAGTAGTAGTAGAAGTAGTAGTAGTTGTAGCTATAGTAGTTTCTACTGTACCCTCTTTCATAGTAGTAGCAGTAGTAGTCGCAGTAGTAGTATTCTCTTTCATAGTATTAGTAGGAATAGCAGTAGTAGTAGTATCTTCTTTCATAGTATTATTATTATTAGTAGTAGTAGTAATAGTAGCAGCAGCAGTACTTGTTGTTGTATAGTAGTAGTAGAAGCAGTATTTGTGGTGAATGGAAAAAGTGAGTGTTTGGTCTCTGGGTTCACAATAAGGCTTTTACTTTGGCGGGGCCCTCTCTTACAGTCACGCTCTTACTGTGGCGAGGCTGTGGTTTTCCTGAGGACCCGGCCTGCCCCCTGCTGTTTGCCGGTGCATTGTGGGTAGTGTAGTTGGTGCTGCAGAGCCTCGGTGACCTGGGACTGAGGTGTGGTATGTCGGTGTTTGCTGCTGCTCGGTGCGGCTCATTAGACGTTTGGTGCCAGTGACCACATTTTCCACCGAACACCGCCGGGCCGCACCAGGATCTGAGATGTTTGTGGTGAATCGGCTCTTAAAATAACAAACACCTCATCACAGAAGCGTCGCCTCAACTCTACATGACACGATGAGCTGCTCTTTAAAGTCTACGAACCAGATTTTTAGCGTCTTAAAATCGTGAAAAAACAGAACAGTGGTCCAAAGTTACTCCTTTCTTACCTTATGGATTCAGAGTGACCTAATTATCCACCTCGATGAGTTTATAATTGACCTAAATCAGATTTTTTGGCCCCTACGTGACCTGTATCTGATCTTTTAATGACAGTCTGAACCACACAGATACGATTTTTTCAAATGTGACCCAGGACACTTGGATATGTGCTCCTGAAACTGATACATATCTGATCTTTTGACATGTGACTTCAGTCTAAACGACCAGGTCATATTCATCCCACCTACACGTCACAAACGTCCACAAACGTTCTTCTCGTTGTACGAAAATTGTGTCTGAACTCCAAGCGAGTGAAGCAGTGAAGCACATGGGTCCAGTCAAGTGTTAACGGAGGGAAACAGGGGCAGATTTTTAACATTCAAATGTCTCTTATTCAGAAACTAGAGGGACTATTGAAATAAGTAAAGTATCAGAATGTAGGAAAGAGTTACAC